AGAGCGGGTTAGAGTTGGCATTTTGCCAGCCCGCCAAGGTGCAGGTTGCTCTAGCCCGCACCACATAACCCGCAAGCTGTGGCGGGCTAGCCCGCGGGTTGGCGGGTTGGTTTGTCTAACCCGCCACTTTTTTTTAAAAAAAAATTTCATATAAATAATATGTTATTATATTTGAAAATTTTCTTCTCTTATTTACATTTCAATTTTCATGTTACATAATACATATGTAAACAAAAAATATTTTTTAAAAATAAGCATACTATATTTATAGCAAAACTTTAATAACTACAATCAAATATAAAACAATATTTATTACGGAAAAAAAGTGTTTTAAAAAACATGGTAAATTAACTTTAAAAAATTCAGATAAATGCACTTCTAATTTATTAAGAGATAATGTTTTGTATCAAACACGGCGTTTGTATGAAAAAAAATTATAAAATTTATCACTTGATGAGTTAATGTTGATTGAATATTAATCATGTAAAATATTTATAATGCATTATTTTATATTTGTATTGACTATTTTAAATGTGGTTAAACATCATTTATACTTGTGATTACTTTTAAATTTTTAGATCACCATTTATTATTTTAAAAAGTAAATAAAAATAAGATTTGAAAATTGAGAATTAAAAAAAAAAAAAAGATGGCCAACCCGCTGTGGCGGGTTAGGGTTGGGATTTTTCCAACCCACCAAAATGCGGGCTACTCTAACCCGCACCACATAACACACGAGTTGTGGCAGGCTGGCCCGTATTCCCAGTTATAATTGACGACGGTTGATGGCCTTGTGGCTAGGACAGTTTCTTTCGTTTGATTGATATATGGGAAAATTAAGGAGAAGGACCTAAAAAAATTAGTATTTATTAAGAGGGATCTTAAAAATTATAATTAATTTGAAAGACCAAAATTAAAATAAAATTTTACAATTACCAAATTATCCCTTGTCAAATCCCTACGTTATCTCCAACACCCCTCCTATTTCAATTTGATGGTTAATTATCAATTGAACTTGATCTCTCTCTCTATATCTCTTTTTGATGCACCCAAAGTTTTTACCAATAGCAATTATCTTGTTGGAAATCTAGAACAAAGAAGACAAATTAAAAGGAATCAATTAGCAGACTATTGATTGGACGGCATGTATATTTTGAAACATTATTTTCCCTCCTTTAGTTTATTTGTACCAAATGTTTTCTAATTTTCTCATGGCCTCTATATAAAGACTTTTTGGATGAATATAAAAGTATATATTTGTACCTTCATTCAATCCCAACTATACATGCATATGAACACAATCACACTATCTATACAAAGCTTCTTAGATGAATATAAATATAGTTCTTTGTGTTAACCAAAATATGAAAATCAAGTAAATAGTACCTCTTAGTAACCTAAGCTTCACTAATAATTTTTCCAACCACATCAGAATGAGGGGCAAAATTACAGTTGCGCAAGCTGGAAATTTTTCTAGCCATATTGGAATGAAAGGCTGGTAGATGCAAATATGAATGACTGAAAAATAGGACTCTATTTTTTGTTAATTGCTGTATTTAGTTTTTAATTTTAATGGGGGCAATTTAGTAATTATAAAGTTATATTTCAATTGATAACTGATAGTCAAATATTGAGATGGGTCTTTAAGATAATGTAGAGATTTGGTCAGGAATAATTTTGTAATTGTAAATTCATATTTTAATTTTTAGTCCTTCAAGTTAATTACAATTTTTAAGATCCCTGTCCATAAATACTAATTTTTTTAGGTCCTTCTCCTCAATTTTCCCTTGATATATTACTTTTAAGCTTAAAAAAAAAATGGTGGTGCCACTTGGTGACGTGTGTTTGGTGGGATTCTGAAAATATCTACTTTTGTGTTCCTTCATTTTCTCGTTTCTTTTTATAACTACTCAGTCATGTGCTTATTCCATCCATCTATTTTAATAAATAACTAATTCATAAATATTTAAAAATCTTTAAATTAGTTATTTATAAAAAAATATGGGTTTGTTTTTATTTTTGAATTTTTTGTATTAGAAATCATTTCATTAATGTAAGAAATTTTTAATTTACATACAATATTAATAGGAATAATTCTAAAACAATTATAAATTTATAAGACAAAAGATATTAATGTTTTACATTTATGACAACAGCTAATCCCTCAATCATTTTCTACATTTATAAATTAAAAATTTATTGACCATTAGTTCCTTTAATTCTTGGTGTAAGGATTCCAAACATGTCTCCCAATTTTATTAAGGATAATTTTGATATTTTATAATAAATAGTCAATTTTAACTACTTTTATTAATTTATGTAAAGTTGTTAAATAATGCTTCTCAATAGGACTTGAGGGAGTAATATCTTATTATCTGTAAGTAATATATTTCTTATCGTTCTAAATTTTAGTATTATAATTTTAAAATTTTAATTTGTAAATAGAAATATTTTTTCATATATAATAATACATATATTTATAATAAAGAGAATTGCAATAAAATCTTAAAAAAGAAACATAATTCTAATAAAATTCCAATAACAAGTAAGTAGTTTGTAATAACAAGTTTTAAAATAGTAAATGAGAACTTCTTATTTGTTATTAAAATTTTTTGGTAGTTTTTTTTTAAATGAAATTTTATTGTACTTTTGACCCTGAAAAAATGAAATTTTATTGTAATTCGCTTTTTATAATTTTGTTGTTACTGTTTTCAGAAAGCAGCATTGGCCCCCACCCTGGAAGTAAAGAGTAAAGACAGAAAGAGAGTGGGTGACAAGGGGAGGAAGAGGGTTTTTGTGAAATAGCACGCGCAATTGCTGCGCGTGAAGTAAATAGAATGGTCAAGTCCCTTTTTATGGAATCCCGTAGTTTCTGTAGTGCCTGATAAGGGACCCACATGAACAACACGCCAATAGGTGGGAATGTGGGATCCCATAGTTCCTTTTCTTCTCTCTTTTTTTTCCTCTTCCGGTTTTGCCCCTTTTTTCGTTTTTTTTTCTCTCTCTTTTTTTTTTCAAATAAACAAAATCCCTTACCCCATGGTTGGATGAGAAGAAAAAAAATTGAAAGGACATTAAACATAAGGGAAAAAATTTGAGAAGATTTGAGGTTTTTCTTTGTTGATATGAGCAAAAAAAAAAAAAGTGAGAGAAAGGACAAAGAGGGTGAAAATGAGAGTTAGAATCTGCCATGTTGTGCTTGTCCAAATTGACTTATCCAAATATTTATAAGCAAGTTTTATATAAATCGATTATGATAAAAAATAAAAAAAACGCTTCCAATAGTCATAAATCGTTAGTTTTTGTTTCTAACAATTAGATTTCTTAATAGGCTATTTAGTTACTATTAGACACAACATGTTATATTATACTCTTCCGGTTATAGATATAAAACCTATTATCCACTTTGTAGTATAATTTACACTACAAAGTAGGTCTTCTATTTAGAACCGGAAGAGTATTACATCCGATTCTTAGTATAAGGTTTAATTGACTAACTTGAAGAGATTAGAGATGTTAGTTAAGTTAGCTATTTAAAGTAAATAAATATTGTGTCTTCTAAAATAAAATATCTTTATTAATCATGCGTGTTTGAATTATAGTAATTTCTTAACATATGCATCTACTATAAAAATTACTTGAAGGCAAAATAGATAAATATTAGAGATAAAATAAATAATAATATTATATTTATGATAAAATTAAATGTCAAATTAGTTCTTATATTCAAGATATAATACTTGATTACTTTTTATTTTATTTCAGTATATTCCAGGATTTCGAATAAATAGAGATTCTCAACAAAGACCAAGATTTATTTTTATATGGAAAATGACAACATTATGAATCTTCATAAATTATCAAATTGACTATCTTGCCCCCACCAACCCGCTTCACCACCAACTCCTCTGAGAGAGAAATGTCAACATTCACCAAACATCACCAGTTCATCATAACCATTCATCTCATGACTTGACTTTAAATTTACGGGAAAATATTTCAATAGTATATTCTTAATTTTGAATATTGTAAAATATTAAATACCACGTTCCACAAAAAATATAAAATATCAAAAGTTCATAGAGCTGGGAATCATACAAATACATATATGGTTCACACTGGTTCATTTTAGCTACTGTTCTAAAAGATTTGGTTATGATTAAGGTGCCGAAAAACTTTACACCTATAGCGACTTCTGTTTTTCTTTTTTTTTTTTTGCCAACTATAAAAACTTCTATTTATCTTTTGTATGATGATATTTATTTAATGGCACAGGAAAGCCACTACCGCTGGTTAAAAAAAAAAGAAAGCTACTACAGCTAGAAAACTAGATTTATTTATTAAGAGAATGTTGCCGTAATTTATTTTGTGTTGCATGTGTGACACAAGGCTAATCCAAATATAGGAAGTAATAAATAAATAATTTATAAATTTAAAAAAAAATAATTAAATTAGTTATTTATAAAAAAATATATTGTGATTTTCTTAAATTACTATTTTTAATTATTTGCATAGGAAACTAGAGAATTTTTTTAATTTGTGCAATTTATAGAAATAATTTGAAAATAAATTATAAATTTGGAAGAGAGAGTTGATTAAGATCGTATATTTATAACTAAAATAAATTTCTAACTAGCTCTTATATTTAGTATCGGAACAAGCTTTTATTATGGTATTTTACTGTTTGATTAAGTCTTATAAAATTATATTTTATATGTCACATTCATTATATTTTTGTTTCAAATTTTATTTATATTCTTTTTATAAATAAGTTACATTTCTTTACATTATTGTGTATGAAAAATCAGACAAATCATTAAATTACAAATAAAAAAACAGTTTTTTTTAGCAAATAAAAAAGCAGTTTTAGAAATTGATAATTTGGCCACACCACAAACGGAAAGCTGTTGACTGAGCAAAGCTACAAATGTGCATTTCTCATTGGTGTGATCTCTTCTTCACAGCAACATTCTCTTCCCACCACTGCTCCAACGAACAAAACCACCACTTTCTGTTTCCCTCGGTCACAATCCATTTCCATTTTCTCTTCCTCTTCCTTCCTTCCTTCTTCTTCGCCTATGGAGCCCGTTAACGCTTGGGGAAACACTCCGCTCAAAACCATCGACCCAGAAATCCAGGACCTCATCGAGAAGGAAAAGCGCCGGCAATGTCGCGGCATCGAGCTCATTGCCTCCGAAAATTTCACCTCCTTTGCCGTCATAGAGGCTCTAGGCAGTGCCTTGACCAACAAATACTCTGAGGGTATGCCCGGAAATCGCTACTATGGCGGGAACGAGTTCATCGATGAAATTGAGAACCTGTGCCGGTCACGTGCTCTCCAAGCCTTTCGCTTGGATCCCGCCAAGTGGGGCGTCAATGTGCAGCCTTACTCTGGTTCTCCGGCGAATTTCGCCGCCTACACGGCGGTGCTGGAACCACATGATCGCATAATGGGTTTGGATCTTCCCTCAGGTGGTCATTTGACTCATGGGTATTATACTGCCGGAGGGAAGAAGATTTCTGCGACCTCGATTTACTTCGAGAGCCTGCCTTATAAGGTGAATTCAAGTACTGGTTATCTTGATTATGACAAATTGGAGGAGAAGGCCTTAGATTTTAGGCCTAAATTGATCATTTGTGGTGGAAGCGCCTACCCAAGGGACTGGGATTATGCAAGGTTCAGGGAGGTTGCTGATAAGTGTGGAGCTCTTTTGCTCTGTGATATGGCTCACATTAGTGGTCTTGTTGCTGCTCAGGTACATCATGTTACTTGAGTTATGGTGTGGTTGTGCATGGAATTTCTGTTTTGGATTTCTTTTTTTTAAAGTTTCTATGACGTTTGATTGATCTTGTTCTTGTCAAACTGAGATTAAATTTTAATACCGCATCCTTTGTTATTTTATTTCTTTAATTTTTTTTTGGGTGACGTTTAGCAATATTTGTTTCTGTTTTTATTTTCCTTAACATTTTTTTTTTCCTCTGTTTTGTTTTGTCATGAGTCAGACTGGGATCCATAGACCTCCCAAAAAGAAGCTCTTTATTTCAACCAATCATATTTTATCAAAAAAGTTGAAAGTAGATGTAATTCTCCACAAGTACTTAATTAATCTTATGATTTGTTTCCAGTGTGATTTTCTCTATAAATGACATAAATTTGATAGTGCTTGTCGGTTCAAGATATGTTTTGTTTTTGCAAGATGTGCTTCTTAATTTTCATGTGGTAATCTGGAATCACTTCGCATTTTATTCTTTTGAGCAACCTACTCGCTTGGGTCTGCTAGTGGAACAGTTTTATGGCCTACAAGTTTGATAATAAGTTCATGATTACGTATTGGTTATCATTTATTACATACTGTTGAGGTCTATGTCTCAAAATATGTTAAGTAAACTTTGTTGATCTGTATATCAGTGATTTAAATCGGAACAAATATTTCTCATATTGGCTGCAGGAGGCTAATAACCCATTTGAGTATTGTGACTTAGTCACAACAACGACCCACAAGAGTCTGAGAGGTCCTAGAGCTGGTATGATCTTTTACCGAAAGGGGCCAAAACCACCCAAGAAGGGCCAGCCTGAGGGTGCAGTTTATGACTTTGAAGACAAGATCAACTTTGCTGTCTTCCCATCACTTCAAGGTGGTCCTCACAATCACCAGATCGGCGCTCTCGCCGTTGCGCTGAAACAGGCCATGTCACCTGGCTTTAAGGCCTATGCCAAGCAAGTTAAGGCAAATGCAGTCGCCATTGGAAATTACTTGATTGGCAAAGGCTACAGCATTGTCACCGGAGGAACTGAGAATCATCTTGTATTGTGGGATCTCCGGCCTCTCGGTTTGACTGGTGAGTAAGTGAACTTATGCCTAATTAAAGAAGAAAAGAACAAGTCTAACTAAAAATTCTTCAAGCCTAAGTTTAAGAAGGCATCAATCCATTAATGCAATTTTTCTCACTGCTTGAGTGAACTTATGCCTAACTGAAGAATAAAAGAACAAATAAAATTACAACTTGTTCATCTCTAGGTTGAAGGAGGCATCGATTTATTAATGCAATTTTTTTTGGTCACTGCTTGATGTTCCTTCAGGCAATAAGGTGGAAAAAGTTTGTGATCTCTGCAACATCACCGTGAACAAAAATGCTGTCTTTGGTGATAGCAGTGCCTTGGCTCCTGGCGGAGTAAGAATTGGTAAGTACTCAATTTTTGAACTTGAATATGCTAATTGGAAGCGCACAACTGATGTGTAGCGATAAAAGCTAATGACATTCTCGTAGAGTCATGCTAAAGTATTGTCGTTAGAAACTTCACTGAAGGTGCATTAGTTCTGGCTGAGCTGGAAGGCCAAATTGAAAGTTCTCTAGAAGGTTGACTTTATTAGTAAGATACTAGCAGATGTTTGTCTAGATACAAGGTGCTCTTTCATATAATTTTTTTTTTCTTTTCCTGATCTCAGTTGATTGTTGAATCAGATCTTCTAAATCAGTTCACATGACAGTTTAGAGAGAGAAAGAAAGGGAGAAGATGGACCGATTCATGTAAGACTCATGTCATAGATGAGTCTCGCGTCTGTCCTTATCTTTCTCTTTCTGAATTTCAGGTGAAGTAAGCTACAGGGGATCTTCGGATTGCTGTTTGTTTGCCTTCATTTTTCGCTGAAAGTAACTGACAAAGTGTCGATTCACAGGAGCTCCAGCCATGACATCTAGAGGATTGCTTGAGAAGGACTTTGAGAAGATTGGGGAGTTCCTTCACCGTGCAGTCTCTCTCACACTGGAAATCCAAAAGGAGCATGGCAAGCTTTTGAAGGACTTCAACAAAGGATTGGTGAACAATAAAGCTATCGAAGAACTCAAAGCTGATGTTGAAAAATTTTCATCCTCATTTGATATGCCTGGCTTTCTGGTCTCAGAGATGAAGTACAAGGACTAAGTTGGATCATAGAATTCTCCACTGAATGTTGTCTTCCTATTCTGTGTTTCTTGTAGGTTGGCTGTGTTTTATCATCATCATTCCCCCCCCCCCCCCAAAAATTTATGTTGAAGCTCTGTCTTGTCTTTGATTTCTTGTTATGTATGCCAAATATCATGTTTTCATTTAACAAGCAGAGCAAAAATGTAGTTTAGATGCAAATGGGTTTTAGGAAGTTGGAAAATATTTCGGGTTCGAATTGTTATTTTGTTATGCAATAAGAAAAAGTTCAAATATTTTAGGCAAAACATAGTTTTTGGCCCCTGAGCCTCATCAAGAAATCTTTCCAAACCAACAAACTTTACTTTCTTATTTGTTTTCCCTCCTTTGTAACAAAGAATTATCAACTTACTCTCAACTAACTTCTTACCTAGGCTTTGAACAAAGTTTGAATTAAGCTATTGTTCGCCATTAATAAATAATACAACTTGTATGCATGCATGCATGGAAAAGAAATTATAACTTTTAGTCCTTGAATTTTCTTTTTAATTACCGATTCAGTCTCAAATTTTGAGTCGAGGCAACTCAATTTATAACTCAATAAACTACAGGGAGTGAATTGTATAAAGTTAAGAAGTGATAAAAACTGAGTTGTTCAGTGTTAAATTTTAATAACTGATTGAACAACTTAAGAAAAATTTAGGGACTAGAAGTTATATTTCTACAGGTTTCTTCCTCCCATTCTTAAAAGGAAAAAAGAAATAAAATATCAGCACATCATTAAGATTAACTGACATTATAAAAATAGAATGGGACGTGAATGGCAGGCATTTAAACTCTTAGTATAATAATGAAAGCATAAAAAGTAAGCGCCACAAATGAAAATAACAGAAATCGAAGGAGAATAATTTGTTAAAAACGGAAGCCTGGGAGCATGCTTATTTGTTCAATTATTAAATTTTACAGAACTCGGTGTCCAATTTTTTCCGCAGACTTCGTGGACTAATGGTAAATAACTATTGGGCCTACTTGCTTAACGGGCCCAAATTGACATTTGATATTGGGCCAACCAATTCCTTACAAGTGGGACCAACGCACCAGTCGGAGTGTTGAGCCCAACACGTCGAATGCTACCATCCACGCACAAGGACTGGATCTCCGCAAACAGAAATTAAATCTGGTAACCAACAAAATTGGATCTCGCAGATAAAACTAATCTTTGGTAAGGTAATAAATCGGAATTTGAACTCTCATTAAAAGAAGTGTCTACATTTATTACCCAATAATATCTCAAATAGAATTATTTTCAATAAAAAAATACATATACTTAAGAGGAAAAAAAGAAATTAGGTCTAGTACTAATAGAGGTCGAGTCTAATAGAAGGAGTTAAATCCATGTAACAAAAGTGATTGTCTTCTATTTTGGTTGATGAGTTTCTGGGATGAAGTCGTGGGGATGTGTTGAAATAAATTAACCAACACCGCTTTATCTTGCATGGTGAATATTGCCGAAACCAAAAAAGGAGAACGGACTGCCAAAGATTCTTTTTTTAGAAGCGAAAAGGCATACCTCCATGTACTAGCCATCGCATAAATAAAAAGAACTGAACGCAAATCCTTGAGAGTTGAGACCCGGAAAAAAAAAAAAAAAACCCTTTTGTTTTATTTTCCTTTATTATTTTTGTCTTGGGAGAATTTCTTTAATAAAGCAATTATGATTTACTGCGTCCATAGTGTTTTTGGTGTTTTCCAATTTTCTCTTTCAATGGTTTCATTCATCACTTGCTAGGAAATTCTCTCTTATAATTCATTTTACACAAAAATAAATTAATAAAATAAACTATAATTATGTTCAAAAGATAAAATCAATATAAAATTTAATGACATTCATACAAGGTTTGAAGGATTACAAATATATAGTGTTGCTAGCTTCTAAATGATTATTATTGACTATAATGCAATTATATCAACACTAAGACATTAGATTTCATAAAAAATTACTCTTTTTTTGGGTCAGGCATAAAAAATTACCATTAACTATATCTTTCACAAACTTATTTAATAAAATTTAATGACAAATTCCGCTAAAGCAATTTTCATTGCAAAATATTATTACATTTCTCGAAATGCTTAAAATATAATTTTGTTAGCTCCTAAATTTTTTATCGTATTTTTTCTGATTAAATAACATTAGATATTAAAAAAGCTCATAATACAAGTTGCAAGCCTTTTAAGTTTTTTTTTTTTTTAAACCATAGCTCTATGCACCCATCACACTTTATAAAACTAGCTTCTAAATGATTATTATTGACTATAATGCAATCATATCAACATTAACACATTAGATTTCATAAAAACTTACTATTAACTATGTCTTGCACAAACTTCGATAAATAATTAAAAAAAATTTTGTTAGGTTCTAAATTTATATTTTTTCTGATCAAACATTAGATATGAAAAAAGCTCATGATACAAATTGCAAGCCTTTTAAGAAGTTTTTTTAAAACCTTAAAAAACACACTTAATGTCATTTGGGTTACAAGATTTAAACAAGCCTTCTAAGAAATTAGAACAATATAATTTCATTTCCACAAACAAAACTTTTCCTGTCCAATGCTATGAGTAAAGCATTCAATAGGCCTCTTACATATGTAGCCTTTCCCCAAAACTCAATCATTTTGACAAACAATATACAAATTTTGGTCAAAGACGAGATCACATATCATCCCATTATAATGATCTCAGATACCTATCTCCACAATCCCCATATTCACAACATTATCATTTTTGTTAATATTAACAAATTATCTGGGTTAGGCCGCGGGCTTTAACAAGTCATATGGCATGCAGCTCCGTTGGAGAAACTAGGAAACCCAGAAGCCATCCTTTAATCGAAAATCTCTTGAGCTTCAATTATACTGTGCTGACTGAAAATGCGAGACAATGAGGTTAAGAGGACATTTTCTAATAGGGCAAAAGTACACATTTGTCTAAAATATCAACTTTTTCACCTAGTATCTTTAACTAGTTATTAAAATTCCTAACTAAACCCATCTAACTAATGACTTTTATCAAGGTAATTTTGATATTTTACAAGTAACTAATTTTAACTAACTTCATTAATTTATATAAAGTTATTAGATGCCTTCAATATGGACCGGAGGGAGTAATATTCAAGGAAAACAACAAACGAGATAGGAAGTAATATGGAAAAGAAATAAATGATGAATTAGTATGAGATCCTTACTGGTCGTCCTTTGACACACGATAATATTTTTCGGCATGTTGGCGTTGACCAATTAGCTGAGCAAAACGCTCATCATGAGTAATTACTATTAGCTGAAAGTTCTCCTGACCTTTCCTGTCCTCCATGATTCTGTATACAAGATAGATTGCAAGATTTTAGGCATGGTTACTACTAGCAATGATTTAGCATCAACCAGATAACCTGTTCACACCTTAGGAGAGCTGCAGCCAGACTTTCAGCATTTGGCCCATCCAAATTTGTTGTTGGCTCATCAAGTGCAAGAATTCCGCAGTTGAGGCAAAACGTCTCCGCTAAAGCCAACCGTATGATAAGGGATGCAAGTACCTGGAACCATAAAATATAGCCAAATACAATAATTTCGGAAAATTTTGCACTTTGATTTCACTAACATCCTTAGAAAAAGTAATGCATTCAGCATTAATTTACCTTCTGTCCAGCACTACATCTTCCTCTCATTTCTAACTCTGCATCACCAGTTTGCATGAGAACCTGTATGTAATTCAAAAGAATCAAGATATAAAAATTTCAACTTAAAAAATTGGCAGCTGTCAAAGCGTTGAAAGATTTCAGACCTTGTAACTATAGGAACGGGTACCAGCACCTTCAGAGTCTGAATGAATACTAATGTAGTCAATATCTTGTCCTCTATAAGTTTGCTGCCACAATTCCCTGATTATTTTGTTGATTTCTTCCATTTTCATTGTGTGAAAGCGCATCAACGCCCTGAATCATATAAAACGGAAGTGCTAATATGGTTAAACAGTGTATTGGATGACTGAAATTGTCACCTATATAGAGTACCCTATCATTGTATGTCGTGGGAAAATAGTAGATAAGAGGAATAAACAATAACCACAAAAGGCTATCTCAGTACAGCAATGTCATGAACTGCAAGAAAGGAAACATATTTTAGATGAGACAATTCTAGATGCAATATGTAGTCAACATACCAAGACTATACTGTTAGTTTCAAATTCAAATGTCAATATAATCCCAGTAATGATCTCCTTTTTTTTTCTTTTGGGTTTATGCCATCAGTTCCAACAGTGGTCTCAAACACTAATTTTGTTCAAGGTCTTAAATGAAACAATAGACCAACAATGCAAATATTTCTCTTTTTTCAGATTTAAATGAAAAGGACAGCACACAAACAGGTTGAAAGGAAAACATAGCACAAGGCACACTAGGAGAAAATCATTTTTGAAACGAGAAAGAATAAAAAAGATTAAACATTTTCGTTTAGTTCTATCATTGTATAGCTTTATTTGCAAGTGATAACTAATTTAACCTTTCAGATGTACATGGTAAATCATATAGGCCGGTCAAGGAAACTGATTTCCACTTTATTCAACTAGTCTCCGTATACACAAATAGCTATATTTATATTTGCAAGGTTCTTGAATCTAATCGGTTCTATAGTGAGCTGTATCCTAACTGATCGATAACTAAGCACGTGTTATAAACCAGCTATTAACACGACAACATATCACGAATAAACTCAACAATATAATGCCACTTATCAGTAAATTACTGAAATCTAACAATCTCACTTGTCGAGTGCATTGTAGTATCTATCCAGATCCTTGTTTGCCATTTCAGTTGTCTGCATAGAAATAGAGATGTTATCATGATGAAAGAGTATCAAAGGAGAATATGTACAAGTAGAATATTGCTGTAGATAACACCTTAAGTTGGATCAGCTGGTCAAAGTATCTTTTGTCTATGTCCTTGTATTGAGCTTGTTGAAGATCAACCTTATTTTTTTTAATATTGGTCTCGTATACAGACATTGTTCCACGACACTTGTTTAACTGTCTCCATAGTGGGCAGACATAGCAAAAAAGAAATAGAAGCAAGGCGTCAAATGTAAAGAAAATATGTCATGCAGATATGAGCAAAGTGGTCAAATAAATAAAAATATGCAATAAATAATGAGAACTCAAGAAAGGAAGCTCCGATTTTGCCACACATATTTTGCATTCATCAACAGCAATGGATCCCACAAATATTACAATTCATATTTATCTCCCGTATGTATTGCATCTTTGTCGCACTACAAGAAAGGCATGGGGGGTATTGCGACACAAAAAAACCAGACTCCAGCAGCTCTAGCTAAATCACACTAGGCCAGGAGCAAGTTCTTCAACTCCCTTGTTATAGGAAAAGCTAGGTTACGATTGAGGTCTCGATTAACTAGTGGATTGCTCTTGTATATTGGTACCAAAACCAATTTACTATAGGAAAAATTATAATCAAGTCCCAAGTAAGAGATTTTATTACCGAAAGGTCCCTTGATGTTCAAATTAATCTCAATTCCCAAGGGACTTCTGGGTAAGAGATTGCAATGTAAATTGACCATATTTCCTTGTCAATTCCAACTCCTTTGCTTCTCAATTGTGTCCATATGGATTGTCACTCCATGCAACAACATTGTCAAGTGAAAGGGCATGTGTCAACAACTTATTTTGCCTTAATATAATTTACAAGTCAGGATGCTTCAAATGACAACTTATTCTTGCCCAATTGACAAGTCGGTGCAGCACAATGTGACAACCTGTATAGGCACAATTGACAAGTAAAGGAATTGGAACTGACAAGAAAAGGTGTTATTAGCAAGATGGTTAATTCACAATCGCAATCTCTCACCCACAAGTCCCTTGGGACTTAAGATTAATTTGAACATTTCAAAAAACCTTGCAATAATAAAATCTCTTACTTGGAACTTGAATGTAATTTTTCCTTTACAATATTTCGGTCAAACAAATGCTTGTCTCTTTTAATGATGTTGCAGTTGCGGGGCCCATAGGATTCTTTCACCAAATGAGTGTGTCATGCGTAAATGAGGTTCAGAAGTTTATCTAACAGTGAGATTTCTTTATATGATAGATCAATATGTAAATAATAATGATGGTGTTTTTGCACAGAAGGATGACCCACGAATTTGAGAATACCTCAGAAAGCAGCCTCTCCCTCTCATGTGATAGTTTCTGGAGTTCACTTTCAACTGTAGAAATCCCTCCACTCTTCAGTATTCTTTCTTCTAGGGTTTCAATTTCAGATCCAAGCTCATCTACTTCAGCCTTCGTTTTCCTATAATTCAAGTTGTCCACAATATTTCTTTTTAATTGATCTTGATTTCTCATCACATCTTGACTCTTGTGTAGTTCGGATAAAATTTCCTTCTTCCTGACATCACAACTTTGAAGTTGAGATTCCGATAGGGATTTCTTTTCCTGTAGTTCCCTCAGCCTGTCTCTTTTCCTCGAATCATTGTACCTGGCCAGACAAAACAAGCAAGTGGTTAATCTTTTTTTTTGAAACAAAAAACAAAAAACAAAAGAGGACCATGTGGAATCATGAATCTTAAAATATCTGATAAGTTTTCAGTTTGGCAAGCCTTACTCTTTGATTTTGGAATTCATTTGAAACAGTGCTTCAGCTTCTTGCTGGTAAGTTCTCTTTTGTTCAAGCAGGTCTTCATATTCTTGACTGAGTTTAATTTTCAGTTCATTATGATCAGCAAGTAATCTATCTTTTTCCTTGGATAGTGGGCCTAGGGTGTCTGATAAATGCTGCAAAAAAAAAAAAAAAATCGATCAGTGAATTATGCATTATAAAAAAACATTGATTAGTGAATTATGCATTTTAACTATGCTCACAAGGGGAGAGAGACATGTAGTTGAGAATTGCAGCAGATTAGCTACAAATGCACAAATTACCAAGCTTAGCGATTTTGATGAAGTGGCATAATTCTGGAAAACATAAAGTGTACAGATTTTTCCGCATTCATAACCACATATGCAATATACTTAAAAACAAATGGGAAACAAATAAAATGGACCCAAGGAAAAGCTCAAAAAGAAAGATTACAAATATGTCAATGCTCTGCGTCAATAAAAGGTAGACATTCCATCTATATAAGCAAAGAACAAGCAGCACTACTCATGGCTTGTAAAAAGTGCAATTGCAATATATTTTATTAACATATAAATATTGATATTGGCAGCATTAGCAGAAACATTTATATATTATCTTCCCCAACGAACATGGATAGTGGTAGAAGGGCAGATGCATTATAAACCAGCCATGCCTAATCAAGCATTAGCACACCCAAGCTTGTGTATTTAAAATAGAATGAGCACGAATTCCAGCCTAGGAACTGAGATTATTCTTGATTAGTTCAATAAAAAGATCCAAACATGAACAATACTATAAATATAATATGCACTAGTATGCATACATATTAATTATAAAAAAACTACGAATTCCATAATTTATGATAGGCATATGTTAACTCTCTACCCACAAATATTTAAGTTTAAATGATAATACTCATCAACGCCTTTCAATAAAAAATGTATTTAATTCTTCATGAATAATTTCTTGACAGAAGATTTATATTTGAACAAACTTGTTCATTTCATAAATGAACAGAGAAATCCAAGCTTTAAAGTAGTAGTTCACAGGCAGCTAGGTTCATTAACACCTCCAAGTGAACCCATAAATAACTAAAATAAATAGGTAACCTTCTCATCAAGATCAACTAGATTCTTTTCTTCAATCAAGCGTTCCAGTTCTTCTTCTATCCTTTTAACATCTTGCAATGAGTTGGCCACTTTCATTTTCTCTTCCCTTAGAGTGTGCCACCTTATTTGAACATTTGATAAATCATTCTCCATATACCTCTGTTCTTCCCTCAGCTTCTCCAATTCATTGTGCAAAGTATCCCTTGTTGCCCAGATATGCATTAAAAAAAAAAAAAATTGAGAAAAAGCTAACCATGGAAAATAAATAGGATATGAATGTTCTTTGGAAATGGGAGATGAAGATAATTTCAATAAAAGCATGTTTTTTAATTAAGATCTGGATAATCAAATTCACAATGTTAATAAATAGGGGTGCTTAGCTAACGCTATTTTCTTTCTAGGTAATAAGAAGCTATTTACTTTGTGCCCTGCAGTGAGTTCAGCTCCAATTGAATTTCTTCCAGGGTCCTTGCTCCTTGTCCACGAAAATCAAGCTTATATTCTAAATCCTCAACTTGCCTTTGCAAAGCTTGAATTTCTTGGAAGAGCCGGTCAGCAGAATCAACAGGTTGTAATAAGCTTTCAACCAAATCCTTGTCAGCCTGTACTTGAGCTAAAACACCCAAAACCTGACAAAGAAGTTTTGATGAAAGAAGAAATCTTATAAGAAAAAGAACCAATGCCTTCATCATCTAAAACTTGAACGAACTACAGCAGCGTATATACTAGAACAGGTAACACCATGGAAAAAAGGGAGGGAAGGGGGGTGGGGAGTACTAAACAAGGAGAAGGAAGAGAGACATCCCCCCCCCCCCCAATTAGAAGGGGACGAAGATGGTCTTCAGGGGGATTTAACCCGCCAACTTCATGCAAGGGGATCACCTTGCCACCAGGGCAATGCAGTCATGTGCAGAGAAAATCAATTTAAAGCAAATATAAAGAATATAATGCTATGATAATAATTACATCATCAAGTGCCTGAGATTGTGTATCAAGCTCTTCATTAAGCTGCTGAAGTTCCTTTTCTTCATTGGGAATTGTATCCTTGCACGTTTTCACATATTCTTCATAAATCAAACGAAGCTTGTCCAACTGCTGATAACGAGAGTCTGCATTTGAACACTCTAGAGAAAGAGCTTTCATATGCTCGGTAGTACTAGCAGCCTTAACTCTTTGCTGTTGTAACAAAATAAAAAAGAAGAAAAAGAAAACACAAAACAGCATGAAGTGTTTCCTCTGAGACGATAGGTTGCATTGATATACGATAATAAACAAAAAGAACCTTCTTGACAAAATCGTCTTCTTCTTCTGGAGAGAAAGGGCGCTCACAGCAGGGGCAAAAGTGACGAGCCCGAGCCAGCTTTTCAAAAGGATCAAACATTTGCCGCATGCCATCAGCCATGTTACATTTGCTGCAGGAAACCACCACATGATGTGTTAATATATTTGAGACTAGCACAAACACTATGATGTCTTGACCAGGATAACAGGATCATTTGATCAATATGGTGGGTGACATAAATTTGACCTTGTCAGTTCATCTCTTTTCGCCATGGAGGCCTCTAAAACTTTGAGATAGGAATCAACCCCAGAAGATTGCGGTTCCAAAGACTGAAGCTTGGATTCAATAAATCTCTTTCTTGCTGTGAAAAGATTATTTAAATTCAATAATTCTGCATCGTTGAAGAAATATAGCACACTAGGATGCAAGACAAAGAAAGGCAACATAAAGAATAGATTACTTCAATTGACGACACAATTGGTCATGTCAAGAGACATAACGTGAAATTATGCAATGCTCTTCTATTATCTTGCACCTATAATTAATGTTTGACATACATAAATCATGAGGCATTCAATAGCACTACATAATCATGTAGACACTCAAACCATGAATCTATATTCATTATTACTTGGTATCTAAAGCACGCAATGTAGACAACTAAACAGTATCAACGTTGTTTCTATAATGATGGCATTTTAATACTTTGAGCACCAAGATGAATATTTCTAATCGTAAAGAGGAATGGATGCATTGCTTGATTTTATTCATATGAACATTCATACACACAAAGCAGGTCTCTTGACTTAACTGTGAATGATTCTATCATAGCAGCTCATTAACATTCTGACTGAATGATCAAGCTGAATATGATTACAAGATATTCAAAATAAATGAAACTTTTGAAAGAATATCCTTTGTTATTCATATTAAAACGTATATTTGGGCATATCAAGCACAAAAAGTACACAATGGAACCCTGTAATAATTGTATTATTAATGTAAAAAGGTATGCCATCATATCCAACAGTGACTAGAAGACAAAGGATATAGAACCAGTGTAAAAGGAAAAGGTAAAAACAAGAAGCCAAAAAGATAGTCCCAAATGTTTATGAGCCTGCAAATTTTCAACCCTTTTACATCACTCCAGCATAAATACAACCTCATTACTACCACCCTCCACCACCACACACCCCCCCCCCCCAAAAAAAAAAAAAAACACCAAAAGAAAAACACACACGCCACACCCACAACAATGCACGCATGAACTCAAGTATCATGTACTGAAGCAGGCAGGCAAGGGACACATCATCACTATTCACACCATTCCCCCCTCTATATTCTTTTTCTTTTTTGTTCATTCTGCCACAAGAGTTAATGGACCATGATCCACGGGATACAAACCCATAATTAACTCCCCAAGCAAGCGTCACCTTGTCCTCAAGGCAGATATGAACAAATCTACACTTGTATAGCTTGAAATTCCTACCAAGCACTTCCAATTTCTGGAAGCCCCTTCCATTTAATTAGTGCCACCATTTTCTCACTGAGTGGGATGTATATATGGATGGTTGAATCTTCACTATCATGGTTCACACAACAGACAAGTTCTAGGGTTGGATCAACATCCATTGTGCAAAAGCGAAGACAAGAAGGAAGAAAAGAGGAACAAAAGGTATTTCCAAGTGTTTGACAAGCTATCCTCCCCTTCTCCACTCCACTCTCCATCAAATAACTTCCTCAAAACCCTCTCCCTCTCTCTCTCACTCACACAGACGTCCATCAATATATGTAACAACACTAAAATGTAACGACTCTCAATGTGGAAGAAAATTTGTGTTAAGATTCCCACACTATTTGTAAGTATTTCCACAGATTCTTAATTCATACCAATTCCTCAAAAACAACACCTTTTTTTTAAGTTCTTTGAAGGATAGATGAGACTCTTACATTCCATATCTTTCCGATGCTTTAATAGATTATTATTAATTTCCTGTACTTTTATCTGTAGCACATTGACTTCCTTCTCAGCTTCACGGGACTTCGCATTTATATCATCAAATTCAATTCCAACCGACCTGCAATTCAAAACATATAAACAAAATAGAATCAACAAACATGGGGATTCTTATAAAATAAAAGCATGTTGTTAGATTGTATTGCAACTACTGTAATTAATTAGGACATAGGCTTTGTATCCTTTCTTCTCCTAGTCCCTTCATTCACTGTAAATATTTAGTTACTTCCTAGAATTACTCCCTCATGTATGTACGTATCCATGTAATCTTATCAATGAATGTCATCAGAGAATACTTTTTCAGACCTGTCACACATAATACAAAAAATGTTAGAGTAGAAGAGGCTAAGGCAGAGATATGCCTGGACAAATAGAATGTGTACAACCAATTTGCTTGATTATAATATTTCTTCACATCCACTGCACAGCGGGTTTCTTCAACCAAATTTAAAATGAAAATACTTATTGGCAATTGACTGTTCATTTTAAATCTGTCTTCCTAGGAAAAAATAAATGAGTGAAAGAAATGAATCGGTCTGTTCTAGAGTTAGAATTTCATTTTTTTCTACAAAGCACGTACAAATGCATGAAGTACAAGCAAAATGTCCAGAAATATAAAGCAATTTCTCGATTTTTTCAAAAAGAGTAAAAATGCCCCAGCAATTTCTTCAATTAATAAGTAATTATGCAAAAGAAGAAATTATAACAAGGAAAGTGCATAAGTTTCAAGGTTGACATCAGACATCCTCTATTAGAAAGAGTGACATTCAATGCAATAGGACCATCTAAGGACATGTTAGGTTAGATGAACAAAAAGATCTCTGTCCCTTGCTGATTTATGTAATACTCAGCACACTGATGTCATTATCACTTAGAAGTGACAATATTTTTTAAATCACAGGCATTAAGGACATTTGTCGTCTACAAATCATTTTTCTAGTATATTTTTCTTTTTATTCTGTGCAACTCAAAGTGAAAAAGCCCCCTGTTTTTTGGAAAAATTATCAGTAGCATGACACCAAAAGGAAACCAATAATAACTCTGTCCATAACAAGCAAAACAACCCAAAGATCAGGAAAAAGTTCCCTATGATGAGGTCTCAATACATGTGTTTATCCTATGAAATTCATCAATGACTATTTATCCTTTCAAAACATATAATGGCATGTCATAGAGTAGAGACACAGTTAAAGGCAAGCTTTTATCATATTTCTTCATTAAAAGCTAGAAAAGGGTCTATGTTGATGGTAAGTCCCCCATGGGGAATACCATGTGCTTAAGGTTTTGTTATGGCTATACATAGTGCCCAGAGTATACTGATGTAAAAAGATGCGGCGCTCAATTTCTCTTCTTCTCTATTTTGGCCTGTTTCAGTTTTATCTGTGCAATGAATCATCAGGCTTCACAAAAATGGGCTGGTTCAAATGCATTTTTGTTAGGAACAAATAGATGAGTTGATACTTGAACAAATAAAAGGTTGTTATTGCTTCCCACCTTGGAAGCATGGACATAGACACAAACACAAGATGGACACAGCAACATAACAGATAAGAAGTGCCACATAGTCTCCCTTTGTGTCTCAGACAAGTGTTCAATATATTCAAGCAAAGATACAGGTATTTTTCTCAAGTGTTTGTGCATTATCGCTCCCAGCAATTCTTTGCTGTCTCTTTTCATGATAACTCTCTTGCTCTCACACACTCTGTTTACTCTCTGAGAGCAAGAGAGGAAGAGTTTGACCAACCTTGCTGCCTGTGTAATTTCCTTCTTCAAGTCCTTATCAGAAGGCATCCTCCCTTTTAGCACCCTTCTTACTTTATCCTTGTGATCATCTATTCTGAAAGAACCCAACAAGTAAACATCTACCTAAGAAAATACTCTAAACAAGAAGCTGAGAGTCAAGGAGATGAAAAAGATTATCAACTTACATCTTTCTATGCTTTTTCTTCTGATTCTCCAGCTCAGTTTTCTTCAGAGACAGCTTCACTCTGTCCTCTGAATCAGAAGCCATAATATCCTTCTCATGATTGACAGCCTTGATTTTTTGTTCTACACTAAATAGTTCACTCTGCTTTTGACGTATGTTTGCTTCAAATTCTCTCTCAGCAAGTTGGTTCGTCTTCCTCTCAACTTCAATCCGCTACATGAATTACTAGAAAATATATCAACCTTGTTTTCTAAAGTCTTCAATTACAATTATTAACTACAAAAACAACAACATAAAGCAGCACATTCCTTACCAACTTTCTTTCCCGTTCATCAATATGGGTAAGGTTTACATTAGGAATTTGTAGTTCAAATGAATCTCGCTCTGTTTCCTTTTCTTCAATGCGCTTTGAAATGCCACTCTGCATGTACAATAAGTCCATCAGCATCATACAACTATAGACATTTGACAAGAGACATATGCATTTAGACACAAACCTTGATCTCTATTTTAGCTTGTTTTTGAGCCTCAGTGTTTTGCCAGCGAGAATTTGCATTCATGTACTGATCCCATGCTGTCTTAAGTTCAATTTCATTTGCGTTCTGCACAAACATACAACACACACACGCATCCCAAAATATCCCTCTAATAATTTATTTCAAACATCGAAAGTGTATTTCAGAATATCTTGAAGTAGAAACACGAGTTACCTTTTTCTCTTGAAGATCCTTCTCAAGATCCACCAACCTTGATTTTATACGATTTGTTAAGTTTAAGGCAATTTCATCACTGAAGGGAGTCTTTGGAAGAGACCCAAAATTATGCTTAATGAAAATATTTTGTATGGAGGAATCACGTTCATTCTTCAAAGACATGTGAGCCTGCAGCAATTTGAAGTAGAGATAAAATTAAAATTACAGCTTGCATCGTTAAATGGCTTTACAGGCACCAACTTGTGTATTGAACCCTACGTCTGCTTCAGTTTGTAGCTTGCTTATCTCCCATATGGAATCATTGATAGTTTGCTTAAGGAATGAACTTTTAGTGTCAATATCATTCATCTCCCTCTCCAACTTGCTTATTTTTGTTTGTAAAATAGCAATTCTTTCTTCAAACTTAGTCTTCCATTCCATCAACTCTTCATCAGTGTCTGGTCAGAGCAAAACAAACGCATGACGAACTATGGAAATCTCAAAATATAATAAATGCCCAGTTCAAGGAACCTAGTAAAACTTCTAAAAATAATAACTTGATGCAATAACTTGGATAAGGAATTTAAAACTGAATCATGAATAACAGCAAATAATTGACTCATTCCGTCAACCCTGATCAATGAACCTTCATTCTCTTCATTAAGAGCTGCATACTGTTTCTCTTGTTCCTCAAACAAGGCACTTCGTCGAGCACTTTTAGTTGATATCAAGTCCTGCAGTTTCTGCAATTCTTTCAATGTTGCCTCCGCATTATGAATTTTGTCTTCCAAATTTTTAACACTCGCATCCAATTCTTGCATCTGAAATTTTACAGATTCTGTTTTCTCTTGATCTTGTCCAATGCTTTCCCGAAGCTACAAGACAATACAATTTTATAATTAGCTCATTTTTTATATTGAGATATTGTAGTTAAATTAAACAGAAACAGAACCTACTTTTCAGATAAATGCTTTGGAATGCCTTGGTTCAAACAAATCCAGAACAAAGAAAGTCCCAGGAATTGCAAAAAACAATTGCAGTCAGAAATAGACAAGGGAGAAGATGATGGCAATGCACAGTAGAATTGTTTCACAAAACGCAAAGCTGCAACACAATAAGCACATCAAAGAGAACTTAAGAGGATATGCTTAATCAGGTGATTTTTGCAGATTAATGTTATTTTTATTTTAATTCATTTAAATTCGGAAAAACCGGGGAGCAAGAGGCATTTATTACAAATTTGTATAGTCCACATTTATCGATCATTACCATAGAGAGTAGAGATGGAAATGAGGGAAGATAATTTACAAGTTTTATCTTTAGTTTTGTCAAAAATGGAGAAGAGGAAACTAACCTTGTATGCAGCATCTTTTAGGGTTTGAAGATTTTCAAGCTTCAACCTGTAAGTCTTAATCTCTTGAGCCTGTTCCTTGTGAAGTTTCTTTATAACCTCTAATGCCTTTGTGTATCTGGTCAGCACAATAGCACATACTAAGATGTATGATGAAACTATAAATAGCAAAGAACAAAATATAGCAAGTAAAAAGAGCCATCCGCAGAATGCTGCAGCACATAAAGCATCTAAACCCAAGAATTTTCAAAATCTCCCACTTGAATTCCATGGCATAAGAATGAAACCAAAACAAAGTACGTTTACAATTGCCAGTTCAAGGAAACATAAATGATACATGGGATAATTAGAACATGAAAATGAATTAAATTAAGCTAACCAAGTTAAGGACTTGATAATTATGAATCATGAGGTATTGGTGAATTTCATTCAAAATACTAGGCCTTGTAAAGTTAAACAGGCTTAAATCAGGGTCCATGGAACTTTTCAGTCTTAAGCCCATTGAGCTACAATATAGAGATCAACAAAGTTGAAAGAACGATGTCCTAAATATAGGAATCAGTTGTGAATGTAGAAAGATCTTGAATAGATACAAATGAGATTAAAAGCACTTAAATTAAGTCCCATATAACCCTGCACTAAGTTAAACAAGTTGTCTACATACTTGTTATGAAGACCCATTAAAATTTGATTCCCTAGTAAGGTGGTAATGATGATTTGAGAAGGTAGGGCGAACATGACTTTTCTAAGATGAATTTTGGCAAGGAATACAAATGTGTCAGATGGAGTGATTTAGATAAGGTCTTGATATTATCACAGATCTCAATGATTGTGAAATGAATAACTATAATGCTTTTGATATTCAAAGTCCCAAATTACATGATTGCTAGGTCAACCTGAGTTAAAAGAGACAGCTACAGAGTCCCAACAATAGCCCATGATTCATGAAAAAGAAACCCCTTAAGGATGAGACAGAAAGGGTATTTTCACAAGTCCAGTTTCATATGACTTACTGTACATAAATAGGAGAGTTGGTATGAAAGAAGAGTTCTTCAAGAAAATATGATACCGCGTTGCAGAAAAAATATCATCAAACTTTTTCTTCAATGTTGAAGAATCCTGCAGAGGCCAATTGGCTTCATCTTGATGAACAAATATAACATTTTCCAAAATGGCCTTTGAAACACCCATTAGTGCAGAAATTTCTCGATCCATATCAGCACATCTATAGCTGAGGCAGACTTTCTGCAGAAGAGAACCAGGAAGGGAAAAAAAGGCAAATGGGCAATTATTAACACCTAATAAATAATATGCTAGTTCCTTGATAGGCACCGTAGAAATGAGGAGTGAGTGAATATGAAGAGCAGTATGACATAATCAACAAGCAACAACCAGAGAAGCCAACAGGCAATTATGTACTATAAACAAATGAGCTTTTTAAAAGCAGCAATACTCAGAGTTTTAATGGATAAATTAGAAGAAGACTTCTATGTGTTGGACCTACAGTCCTTAGCATGCCTCTCACTGCAAAATGCAACATTGGAAAATTTGTGGTTTTTCCTAATACCTCAGTCTGCAGCAATGCTGCTTAAATTTCAAGTTCATTACTATTATAGAACACTGTACAGATGACTAAAAAGTTTATAGTTCTTTATCAACATAGAATTTTCAAGAAAGTAAACGAATCACTTTTTTTTTTTTTTTTGCACAGTCGACTTGGAATAAAAATTAATAAGTAAAACAAAGACCACATCTGGTGTCCAAATTATAACGACCACAAAAATCGTACCTCCCCAGTATGAGGATTGATTGTCTGAAGTACACTCTCAATCGCCTTATATTCCATCTTTGATGCCTTTTGCGTTAGCTGAAAAGATCTTATGCATACGACATCTTTACCTGCTGCTGTCTTGAATCGTAGTTTAATCTGCCCTTTCGTTTCAGTTTCTCCAGCTACCTACAGTCACAACACCCCCGGGGAAGGCCCCCAGAAAAATAAGAAACTTGCGAGATTTCTTTACTTGGACACGGAAAAGAAAGGGAAATGCCCTACTTCTCAAAACACCCAAGTAAAATGTTTGAGCACTCTACATAACAGCCGAAGAAAACAGACCTTGGGGTCATGAATGAAGCTGTGGCCAGACCTAGCGTTAGGAGGCAACTCCCCTGTACATGAAAGCTTCAAGCACTCAATAATTGTCTGCACAGCGTAATTCCAAACGGCCATTAAACATCTCAGATAGAGAGCGAACTAAAAGAGTATGAATCAAGAGATGTAAAGCATATTCTACTGACAGTTTTTCCAGCTCCATTGGGTCCAACAATTAGGGTTAAGGGCTTGAAGAAGGTGATGACGTTCTTGTTCTCCGGGTCGAAGCTCCGGATACCTTTGATCAACATCTTATCGACCGTACTCATCTTCACTAAGTCGTAGTATTCCCCGAGTTTGGCCCGGGGAAGCCAACGGAACACTGATGAGTGTGAAGACTGATTCAGAAATGGAGAAGTGACTAGCACCGTGCAGCGGGAAAAGGCGGGACTGGCAACTTATTTTTTCTTTTGCCGGCTCTTCGCAGTTTCGAATTTTTGATTAAACGATACGCTGGGCATGGTCGTGTATATGGGGACACGGTAATATGGCCATCCCGGACCCTTTCCTCGGTCCAAAAGGCAGTGCGGTTTGGACCTCTCACAATAAGTTCTTGCAAACCCCTCCCGCATGTCCATCAATCAGAATTGACCACCTATGAACAAACAAAATTTGGTCTAATCTCCACTACGTAATGAATAAAAATTCAAATTCTTGTTAAAAGAAGTGCGTATATTTAGTGTTAGATATTACATCAAATTAGATTACCTCCAATAAGATATACTTATGCCTATCAGAAAAAAGATTACTTATAACAAAGTTTGTACAGCCAAAATATAAGCTTCAAGAAAACAAATTACATAACTGAAAAAGTTAGTTAAAATTGATCAAAAATGATAAATATGTAAAAATAATGTAATTTGTTTTTTTCAAACACCTAGTGAGCGGGAGAGAGAATGAGTAGAAAAACAGAGATAAAAGAAACATATAATTAAATAAGAGGTAAAAATAAAAAAAGGCATTGAATGATTAAATAAATTTAAATCTAAGTTTATTATAAAAAAAAAAAGGACTCATTCAACTGTTTGAAACTTATATTTTGAACGAGAATGAGTATTATAATAACTTTTTTTCTCAAAGATGTGAACAACATAAGTAGCTAGCAAAAATAAATAAGTCGTGCTTTTGATAAATATAACTTTATTATAAATCTATTACTATTATAAGGGAAGGGTCTCTGCAAGGCCATCTAGAAGCGCAACAAGTGGCACACCGAGAAAGGAGATAAATACATCAATTTTTTAATCATTTTGAAATAAAGAGTAATCTCTTTTACTAATTAATAAATCATTTAATAATTGTTTTATTATTGCATATATTGGTTGCCCCACGTTTAAGATTATGCAATAAGGAACGTGGGTAGATTATTTCATTATAAGTAATTTTTGTGTATATTGGTTGGCCCACGTTCTCTTTTACTAATTAATAAATCATTTAATAATTGTTTTATTATTGCATATATTGGTTGCCCCACGTTTAAGATCATGCAACATAGAACGTGGGTAGATTATTTCATTATAAGTAATTTTTGTATATATTGGTTGCCCCACGTTTAGGATCATGCAATATAAAATACTAATAGAAAAAATAATGAATTTTTCGCTATATAAGGAGTAGGAGCCTGTGGATTTATTCTAGTTAGCAAATTCCTCCTGTTGTTATCGCACCATCAGTGTTCTCCAAGTGTTCACATGGCTCCTACATTTGATTCAGTTCGTGCTATTAACCCATGCAGACAAAATTGGAAAATCAAAGTTCGTGTGGTTCGATTATGGACTATGCCCGGACGCTACTCTCATGAAGAGATATCATCCATGGAAATGATTCTCAGGGATGAGGATGTAAGTGTTTTACTGATTAATTTAGGCATCTTACTTCTTGTGTTCCAAGAGTTATTTTCTTACAGGGTGACAACATCCATGCTATAGTTAAGACTGCCTTCCTTCCACGACATCGCAAGAATTTTGAAGAGGGAAAAACATATGTGGTTTCATATTTTTATGTTTCTCCCAATACAGGCTCATACCGAACCACTAATCATCCCTACCGAGCAAACTTTATTTTTTCCACTTCTGTTCGACCATATGCGGATGATGGCAAAATAAACAACTTTGGTTTTGTATCCCATTCATTGTCTAAAATATTAGCCGATCAGTTTGATGATCGATATCTAATTGGTAGGCTATTATACAAGTGTTGGATATGAGATTAATATGTTAAAATTATTTGTGGTGAGCTAAATCTATATTTTCTCTTGTAGATGTCATCGGGTTACTAACTGGAGTGGGAGAAAAAGAAGAATGCAATGTCAATGGACACACACAGTTTAGGCTTGATGTAGAGTTACTGGATGAAGGGTACACTCTTATTCTGAGTTTGTTTCTCCCAATTTAGCCAAGTCAATGATTAAAAACTTAGGTTTAGAGCGGAATTTTTCTTTTTGTTTCTTTCATTTTGACAGGAAGGAAAAACTAGAATGTACACCGTGGGGAGATTTTACTAATGAAGTTCTGCAGCATGTGTCTCGTGTCCACACTGGTTCTACTATCTGCTCGGAATCTGAATCAAACGAGGGATCCCTTAACTAGTAAGGGATCCATAGAACAAATCGCACTTTTACCACTAAACTATACCCGCTTCAATGCGATTATTGTATATAAATGGAACTATCATTCAACTATGCAAAGTTAGGGAGTTTAAAGGTCTGATACTGTTTATTTGACACCATAGTTACATTGGGTTCCTTTGAACAATAATAAATCTAATTTTGTTCCATGTAATGGCATGGCAGGAAGGAAAAAAGTCTCTAATTCCATGTACTCTTCCCCTCTCCTGATTCATCTTGCAATACAAGAAGTGCAAGAGTTTTTGCAAATGTATGCAATTATATTGGTTTGAGTATAATAGAGTCTACATTTATTCCAAGTTTTATTGTATATGATAGCATTTATCTTTTTTTTAAAATATTTTTCACAGATTGAAAAGTGTTGGGATTCAGTTGGGCCAAACACCTGCTCGAATTGCTCCACAAATTGTAGTATCTGTGGCCGACGATCTACTGGCTTTAGATGACCACAGAAAAATAGTGGATTTACGATTTGGACCAACAGTGCATATATAGCGTAATGCATTGTTTTCTATTTCGTTTGTTTGTATTTTTGTCATTCTTACTATTCTTATCTTGATACTGTATATATACCTTGTGTTATTTATTACAGGAATCTATAGTGATTACTATGGCAGATATTGTAGATATGAGATCTAATCGTGGATGGATGTACACATCATGCAAACAGTGTAGCAAGAAAGTGGTTCCAGATGGAGAAGGTTTCTTTTGTGAAAAGTGCCAAGCTATCATAAAAGCTGTTATTCCCGAGTAATGTTAATGTGATATATCTCTTTCGGTGGTCACAATTTTCATACAAAAATATGTATTATCCATAGTAGAATCTAAAGTTGCAATTGTAAACACTACCAATGTTGAGAAGGCAAACCCATTTGGTAATTTCTCATCAGCTGATTGTCAAGTTGAGGTAAAGAGTAGCAAGCACAATGCTTGTTTCGTGGAAATCCCTTCTACTACATCTGGACATAATGGTGCAAAGAACGGTACTGAAAATATGTTAAATCATCCACTTGGTGGAAATCTTGAAGCTGATGAAAATAATACATCATTTGCAAGACGCCGTAGAGCAAAACGTAAACAAATCTAGGAAGAATAGGCTTTAGTTGATGATTTCAAACTTTCTGTCATGTTGCTAATATCATTTCTAGCTCTTATTCCTAATCTAGTGTTTTTAATATGTTTTTAGGTTATGTATTTATTTCCAGTTATTATGTGCGTTGGTCATTTTCTTAGAGACAATTATGCTTTCTATAATGGTCAAACAATTTCGTTGGTTTCATTTCATACTTATCTGTTTATTTTATGTAATTTACATGTCGTCCTAGAACCATTAAGAAAAATATGATTGATATTTCGTCTATTTTATTATTCATGCAATATTATATATATATTTTTTACCTACTTGTCATTATAAATAACATATGAAATAATGATGTGACTTTTGTTTTTTTTTCCCTATAGTCTATTGAGATGCTTATACAGACTTTAAAAAAAAATAAAATTTAAACTGCTAATAAAAATTTACTGCTTATAGCTAGGATGCATGGCATATGTATTTATTTGTATTATCCACTTGTTGGACTTCCTTTTTTTTTTTTTTTTGGTGTGGAGCAATGATACGCTTGTGTTGCAGTGGATTTAAAAATAGCTAAATCTATCCATATCTTACACACCATGTTCTTTCTAGGCCCACTAACAATTTAATAAATTTCGACTTAAGGTAGGGTGTTTGCGACAACAGTGTCAAAAAAGGCAAAAAAAAAGAAAGAAAGAAAGAAAGAAATTGCTTCTAATATGATAAATACTATAGATTTCAATTAGCCTATTATTAGCAATTAAAAAACTAAGCAAATTGATTATTTGCTCTATTGCCAACTTTGTTTACAATATTCCAAGCCACCACTAATTTTTTTTCCCTTTTATACAATAATTAATTATTCCCTATTTGGTATTCATTTTATTTTCGACGAATTAGCTAATGAGTCTGTTTAAGTCATTTGCCTGGGATTTGCACTATTGATTACAGGTGATTCAAATTTATATTTTATGTGGGATTGTGTAATTTCAATTTTTGACTGCATTATTTTGTATATTTCAATTTTTTTGGGTTGGTGCTCTCAAAGAATTTTAATTGTTGAAGTTAACATTAAATTTTTTCTTGTGTTTGAAATATCCTCTTTTCTGTTACATGTATACTTTTCCCAAGAAAAAAAGGTAACTATTTTTCTACATCATATTTACTTTTTCTGAATTAAAAAAAAAATTAACACACTACCCATGTATTGATAAAATGTTCTGATTAACCTACTTTTGGATATATTTTCCGTGTTATGTTTTTCTGTAATTGCTTATTAGGGTATGTTTAGGTTATTAAGATATTAATTTATTTGAACTGGTGCCAGCATGGTAGTGCATAATTAAGGGACGACAATCAATTTTTTTGAACTGGTGCCAAAAAAAAAAGAATTTAGTTCTGTTGCGACTATAAATAAGTAATAATATTATATGGAATTTTGTTTTTATGACTAACTGAAATTGATTACAAGAATTAAAAATAATTCCTTTGAATTTTTTGTTGGATAAATTATATTTTTTTCTTCAAAATAGAATGTGGGGAGGTCATGTAGATGGTAATGCACGAGGCTTAATTTACCTACGTGGAACAAATTTAATGCTTTGTATTTATAATTTTGATGGTAATATTTCTCACCCTATTCATATTTCGTGTTAAGAAATAATCTTTCAAATGCAGTTATTTTTCACTTGCATGTATTAAAAAAATTTCATGTTGAAAAATATGATCGATCAAATTTAATGCGTTAATATATGAGTTATTTTTTTCTAAGTATTGCTTATTAAGAAATAAATACATAACTCACACATAACTCACCCTATATTCCCTTTAAAATTTCTACATATATTACCTCAGGATATGCAAGATCTGCTTGTATATGTTGAAAAAATATTGCTGGATTTATTCGGCATTTATTTTCGTTCTTCTTCGTCAAATGCAGTTTTTATGTTTATCTACGTTTTAGTGTATCTTTGTTTTACATGAATATTAATTCATTCTCAACGTTTAGTTTAACTTATTATTCTTACTCACTCATTTCTTTAGTGTATATTAACCATGGCATAATAGATTATAGTATAATCATATTACATAAGGGATTATATGTTCTGGAGTTCTTTTTCTTTAAAAAAATTTTTCCATGTCTTTTATGTTTTTCTCCTTCAGTGCAACGTGAACACACAATGATTTTAATCAACCAGCATGGTAGTGCATAATTAAGGGATGGTAATTATTTTTTTTGAACCGGTGCTAAAAAAAATTATTTATGTTGCGACTGTAAATAAGTAATAATATTATATGGAACTTTTGTTTCTATGACTCACTGAAATTGATTACAAGAATTAAAAATAATTCCTGTGAATTTTTTGTTGGATAAACTTTATTTTTTGTTCAAAATAGAATGTGGGGAGGTAATGCCGATGGTAATATACGAGGCTTAATTTAGCTACGTGAAATTTAGCTTTTTTAAATTTATATGTTGATTTTTTTATCCTCTTATGTAATTGCAATTTTTATGATCCTCCAAAATAGTATAATATTTCTTGTGCGGATATGATCTTGGGTCTTTTTTTTGTGTGTGGCCAGATTACAATCTTAAGTCTAAATATATACTTTTCTTATCTATATTTTTAAATAGATTAGATTTCAGGTCACACGTTACTACATAATGTTTCTAAGTTCTTAACTTTGTGATTATGAAATATATTACGTAATGTATATTTAGATTATTTGCTCCAACCCCTTCTGCTACCATTTATGTAAATAAAAATATTAATTTTAGATCAAAATGGAAATACAGCGAAACAAAACTTGTAACATTGTGTATGCAATTTTTTCTTTTGCCATAAACAAAATTGGTTAATGTGGCTGGTTTTAGTAATAAATAAACAACTATAAAGATTTTTTTATTTATATCTAATTTATTATCTATAAATTTATTATCATATTTATATAACTCATATCCTATATTTATGCTTTGTAGTTACAGTCGTGATTTAACTAATATCTCCCTACCCGTGGCTTTCTAGGGGATATTTTATTTATTTTGCTTTCTAAAAACTTCCACTTCTCATTATCATGATCTCAGTTGCCTCAAAACTGATGGCCACATGAAGGAGGGAGCACATTCCATGCTTATCACAATGATGAGCATGGAGTGCTCATCACAATTTGGACCATCCAGATTGATTTTAGATGATTCAGATTGAATTTAAATTTTTTTACATATTTTAATCAATTTTTTGCTTTAATAGATACATAATTTAAAATAAATATAACATCATAACTAACATATCTTTAAAAAATAAATGTATCATTAAAAATTTGTATATTAAAAATTTTAAATCTAAACCATTCATATTAGATTTTGGATGGTTTAGATTGCATTACAGTGATGATCACATGGTGCTCATCGTTGCGATAAGCAATGTGAAGAATCATAATATCATCTCCCATTTTGAATAAAATTACAATTAAGTGGGAAGTTAAAGTAACTTCCATCACCTTTTACCCACTTTCTCATGTTTTTGGTAATTTTTATTTTTCATTTTTTGTGGTTAAAGCCATGATTCCTATAAAAAAGTTACGATTTTGTCAAAACTTTTTAAGAATTTTAAATCATATCATATCATATATCATATATGCAGTAAACAAAAAACCAATTCGGACCTGCTGGTTCAACCGGTAAACCGGTGAACTCGTTAGTGGACCGGTTCGGTTTGGATACTAAACCAGGAAGAAGTTGAATTGGTAGAGAGCCGGTCAAATCGGTGTGAACTGATGAAAACAGGTAAAAACCGGTGTAAATCAGTAATAAACCAGTTTGAATGATTAGGTTGTTATTAATCCTATTTTTTCTCATGCAGCTCCTAATATATCAGCTCCTATAGATTTAAATGAATTTTAATGATAATTTTGGTATCAATGATTATTAATTTTAATGAATGATGAACTATAAAGATCAAAATTCTCAATGTTGTTATACATTTTATTATTACAATCAAATTATTGTCATATTTTCTTATATTTTGTTATTAGTGATTGTTAATGTTGTTATATTTTGTTATTTTTAATAAAATTATATTATTTTAATATGACCGGTTAGATCCTGAGTTGACCCCGGTTCGACCAACTGACCTTTGAATCACTATCTCAATCGGTTTAGTGTTCGGTCTGGTTTTCTATTCCTTGCATATATGAGAAGTTAAGAAGGGGAGAATTTGTCGGATGATTCAAAAAGCCCTATGAACAGCCCTATATTAAGCTGTTTCTTCTTAATAACTTTTATGAGATACTCAAACTTCAGAGTCTTGTGAACCTACGCCTATAGGTTTTATTATGGTTCTGTCTACTCTGCTCTCTGTCTCATCATCTCATTGATTTTGTTGTTCTTATTTGGATACGTTTCTTCTCCATAGTGCTCACAAGTGGATCATCATCTCCACGATTTCTTGAATTTGGATGGCACAAAAAGGAGAGAGTTTAATTTCCATGATTTCTTTTTCTTTTTCTTCCTTCATCTTCTTGTAGGATTCATTTGTTGGTGACAGTAGAGGTCAACCATCTATTCAAAGTGATATTGAAATAGGAGTGAACACAAGGTCTAAGGAACAACATTAACTATGATATGGGAATGGATGCTTTTAATAAACATGTAGGTGCAAAATTTTTCATGTTATTCAAGCTTTTGTTAACTTAAAATGTTAATAGAGCATATAAGAATATTGCACGGGCACCTACAATACGATAAAAGAGGCTTTTTACTGTGGTTAACACGAGCTTTTCACGGTGATTTTGAGTAGGATGTCTATGTCATTGACATAAAAAAGTAGAGGACTTTATTGTATTGCACCTTATTGATATGTAATCATTTTTTTAAAAAAAATAGTTGAAGTATGTAATACAGAGTTCAAGCGAAAAATAAAATATATAAGATTATGCCCTTAAGACATTATAGCATTATTTTCATTTTTAATAGAATTTAAAAGGACTTGTATGCATTGTTGTTTCTTCAAATTTTTAATACTTAAGATTCATTATTATATTTACAACTAAAATATTTAATATTTATTTTACATTTTAGATTCGGAATAAAAATCTTGAATAAATATTTTAAATTTTAAATTAAGAAAAACATGAGAAATCAAATAACTATATTTTATGATCTCACTTTTATTTTAAACATACATATAGGATCTTACATTTAGAACAGGAAGTTATAACTAAGAAAGAATGAACACACATCCCATCCAATAATGATTTATAGTTTACATTGTTGATGGTAGTTGTTAAATTAAATTATACGGGTGTATTTTAAATCTAAAATTGGAAAAAATAAAAAATTTAAATAATTATTTATATATATAGGAGTGGATACTTGGTCTTCCACCAAGATTAAGTGCTTCAATCTTGTTTATACATAACAATATTATAAGTGAAGTCAATTTGTCTTTGTAATGATGTATGGTTAATTTTGATTATATTAGTAAAACATGTTAGAAGAGCATATAGAACATTTAAGAGCAATGACACTCTAAATATTTTGAAAATAATGATCTTGAATGATAGAAACATCACAATAAAGAACTTTCAGTATTACTTGCAAAGAAACTTTTTATAGTCTTATATCTTGAGCATATATATCAATTTTTTTTTTGGGTGACAGAAACACATATATTAACTAATTTAACTAATCACTATATAGTCATTGAACTTTTTATAATATATGAAGAAATACTAATTCAAACCTGTACATTGTACGGGTACTGTACTAGTTAGTAGTACAGGAGATGTCCTTTCTTAGAAAAATATTTGTGTGTAACTTTTTGGCATTTAATTCCATGTATAGTAATTATCTACTGCGCGATCTTTGTGTTTCCCGCCACTTCTCTTTAACCTTGTTAACATTGTTCTTGGCTCAATAGAGAGGGGGAAAAAAGGAATTTCAAGGGAGGGAATGGAATGGAAGGGGCAAGGAGTGAAGACATAGAAGCGAGGGAAAAGAAGAGGAGGAGAGGAGAGAGATTTTAATAATTCTTTGTTTGGATTTATTACAGGAAAGAGAAGGAGAGACATTTTAATAATAACTTATTCAGTACAAGAGGGGAGAAGATGGGAGCTATTCAAAAATTAACTATTTTACTTTTACAAATAAATTTTTTCTATTTTTTATTTTATTAATATGTAAATATGTACAAGGCAATTTACCAACTTAAAAAAAACATTAGATTTTGCTTTTGCCGCAAGCAAAACTTATTCAAAAGGGGAAAAAAATGAAATCTTATTTCTTTCCATAATGTTGTTCGCTAATTTTACTGGGTTTAAAAGAGAAAAAAATGGAGATAAATCTCTTATTAAAAATTTAATTAGTAGATGATATTTAAGAACTTTGTATAACTTAACTTTCTTTTTGTATAGTCTATCTTCTGTTGTGTGCGGTCATCTTCCATTGTGTCACATTTTCTCTTTGGACAACTGAACTTTTCTTTTGTGCAACCCATCTTCCCTTATCTGTAAGTTATCATCTTTATGTGCAAATTAATCCCTTATTTTTAAAATTTTAATTAATTAAAAGATTAAAAGATGCTTAGTGATGTTTTTATCTAGCTTAAGTTAATATTACTCTATAGACTTTTTCAAAAATATTATAATTCTTAATGGTTTTTAGGTCCCAGTAATTATTGTCATTTCATATTTTTCAACAAAGTTTTGATTAGTTTGGGTTTTTAAGTTGAATTGTTAAATACAGGAGGAGAAGGAAATTGAGTTTATTAGATTTATTAAGATTGCAAGACTAAGAGAGAAGAGTAGAGTGAGAGGGCCAAAGAGAGGATAAAAAGATAATTATATTATTTTACTAAGGCTAGTTATGAAATAAAATATTTTCTCTCTCATCTTTTCTTTAAAAAAACCCTGCTTTTCGATAGAAGACTAAGAAGGCGAAAGGAGGGAATGTTAGCCTCTCTCTTCTATAAAAATTGTTCCAACCAAATGAGGGGAGGAGAGCAACTGTAATATCCTAAGTTTTATTTAGGCCCAGCAAAAATTTAAAATATATATATAATTGAAAAAATAATATAATATAATATAATAATATTTTATTATAATATTAAAAAAAAAAGTCCAACTTTCCACCGAAATCGATGGAAAGTTCGAGGGGGCGGTGGAAAGTTGGGGGTTGAGTTTGAAAAACCCCATCTCCTAATAAATGTGTGGGGTGTTAAATGCCCCCCACAATTCATTTCCCCGCAGGCGCAAGAAGAAAAGAGAGAGAGAGAGAGAGAGCTGAAGAGTGTGTGAGAGAGAGGAGTATATCGGTGAAGGAGAGGGAAAGCTTTGAAGATATTTTAGGTATATAAAATTACTTCTCTTTATCAAACTTTCTTTATGAATATTTCCTGTATATTTTGAGCTTCCTATTTACATTATTACTATAGTAATTGGAGAAAATTTTGTGACTTATATATGATATAAGTATTGAGTTTTGACAAAAGATGACTATAGAAATTTAGAAGTAAATGAGTTGTTAATTTTAATCGGTTTAGATTTGTCTATTTGTTAGTTTTAGTATTTAAATTAATTTATTTAGTTGAAAATCTGTCATTTATGGGATATACCATATTTTACCGAGTAAATTTAAGTTAAATAATTTATTTGGATTGTTTGATATATTATTGAGATTTTAATCGGTTTAGTTTTATTTATGGGGTGACTGGAGATTTTAAAATAATTATTGTAGCTAAAAATTTTATTATTTATGGAAATATATATATATGGTAGTTGTACCATTAAAGTTTGATTAGATTATTTACTTATAAATATTTGAAGTATTATTAAATTTTTGAGAGTTTGATTTTGAGGTTTAAACTTAAAAAGAGAGTTTTTAGAATTTAGAAAATAATAATTTTATATTTAGAATTGTGGAAAATCCTTTTTATTAAGGTAAATAATTTGGAGGTGGTAAATAAATAATTTGGGTTGTTAGAATTTTAAGTTGTTTCTAAAATACTTAATAATTTTTGAGTTATAAGAGTTGCGAGAATTTAGAGTAAAAATTTAATTAAATTAGAAATTTAAATAATATAGAGAAGTTTAATTAATTAATCAATTAGTTTATATTAATATGTGATTATATTAATTGTGTAGATTAATTATTGGTTGAGCAAAGGATTGACCTTGTGGTAATCCTTAGTATTACTTTGACGAGAGGTAACCACTTTCCACTTGTTATATGTGCTAATATGTTGTTTGTGAGTATTTTGCTATCTTAGAATAATGATGTTCTATTTGGAACTTGAGTAAATATATTATACCTTTTGAGCTATGAAAATTGTTTTGTGAGATTTTTGAAATTGTGATTGAGAAGTTTGAAAAAGATATATGATTTATATCTTATGGATTATATTGGGAAAAGATTGAGACATTTTTGTTATATTGTGAATGGTTGGTTGTTATTTGAATTTTGGATTGAGCGCTATCCTACCACATGGTAAGGCCGCCATTAGTGCACATTGGTTGGCTTCTTCTTTCGTCCCCCATAGTGAGGGGATAGACCTTTGTGGCTTCTTATTCGTCCCCCAAAGTGAGGGATAGACCCATATGTTTGATTGATCCCCCAGAGTGAGGGATAGACTTATGTGGCTTGTGTGTTGACCCCTATAGTAAGGGTTTGGATGATTGAAATTATATTTTTATGGATATATCTATGTTTCTCGAGAATTAATAACTATCCCACTTGACACCTCATGAGCACGTGTTAGTATGTATGATAAGTTGAAAAGCTGGTTACTGAGGCATTTGTCTCACCCCATGGTTTAACATTTTCAGGTGATAGTTCAGGTGGTGGCCCATCAGGGAAGGCTCCGGAGGCATAGTATGCTGTTATAGCTTGTAAAGCCTCCCCGCTTTTGTTCTATGTGCTGACTTGTTATATATTGTCACATAGGGCTCATTTACTATCATGATGTAAAAGAATACTTTTAATTACTACTATCTGGTATGATAGGGCTGCGAGGAGGCCTGAGACATCTTAGACTCTGCATGTAACGCTCCTTTGAAAGTGTTGACTTTTGACTAATGAGCTCTATAGTTTATATTAAACTGATTTATCAGTTCGTACATTTGAAAATATAAGTTTGATTTGGGCTAATGGTTGAATGATATTTCTGGACTTTGAAAGTCCAAGGCCCAAGTGAACGATTGATGTGGCTCGTAATATAAGTTTATTTCCTTTAACCATGATAGCGATTTTAAAATTTTAAGGTTTCTTCTTTTCTATCATGATTAATCGTTCGAATAAATTGAAAATTTGATCTAAATGGGTTTTAAAAGAACAGTTGTCACACAACTCCCCTCCATCTCTTAAAAAAATGTCCCAACCAAACAAGAGGAGAGGAGCAACTTTCCTTCCTTTCTTTTGAAAATCCCGTACCAAACACAATGGAAGTACAAATATTACAACAATAACAACAAAACTTTATCCAACAAGTTAGGGTCGGTCAGTGTCAAATATTAATAAAAGAAAAACTCATTTTTCAATCATTTAACTTTTAGGGGGTGTTTGGCTTTTTTGCCAAACTATGGTTTGGTTTCCCAAACCAAGGTTTGGCAAAAAATTTGCCAAACACCCCTTTTTTTTTAAAAAACCAAGGTTTGTGGCAAAACCTTGGTTTTGGCCAACAAAACCTTGGTTTGGGATAAGCTTGCGGGGTAGCTTCTGAGGGGGAATTATTGGCTCCAACGGTACATTAGCTCACGGTTGCAGAGGTCCGTTCAGCTCACATTAGCTCACGGTTTGGCCATTCAACCCAGAACGCCTCTTCTCTCTCATTCATCGTCGTCGCCAGAAGGGGCCGTAGTGAGCGAAGGCCATGTCGGCGTGGTTGTAGGTGAGGTAGCTGATGGCTATGGTGGCGGGTCGGTTGGAGAAGATGTTGTCGTGGACCTGAAGAACTTGGTGAGCGGCGTCGGGGTCAGAGATGGTGACCATGCGGAGGAAGCCCATTTTGAGGTGGAAAACGCCGCCGATTGGGAGGCGAGCTTGGCTAGGCATCTGTGGGTGAGCTGGTCCATCATCAGCATGTTGCCAATGATGGGGAGAGGCCTTTTGGCCAGGCGGGAAGGGCGAGCACCAGCGAGATCGAGCGAGGAGGCCAAGGAGTAAGAGGAGCGGGATGATGAACAAGAGCGCCAAGGGCAGGGGCTGGTGCAGAGAATCCATTCGTACAGGTTTTGAGGTGCTGCAGCTAGGAGTGTTGCTGAGGCGAGGGAATATATAATGTGCCTTTATATAAACCCCAACGCAACTATATAGGAGTTCCGGTAAAAAAAAAACGCAGCTATATAGGAGTATTTCATTTTTCTTTTTGAAATTATTAATTGATTGATTCGCTGATGGATCCTTGTAGATAATGGAATACAATTTTATTAAAGCATGTGATCGTATAATTAAGGTGAATATAATACTATATGTTAGTTAATATAATTAACCGACGAATTGTGATATGAGCATGATATATGCAATGATATATAAATTAAAATGAAAAGGGATTTCATCTTTAAAATCTTTAAGAAATAATAATATTTTCTTTGGTAAAATAAATCATTTTCCTAAAAACATATTTATTTATAGGATTAATATATATACACACTAATTTTTATTATTTATATTATTTATACCTTATTTATTATGTTGCCAAAATATATATTATTAATAAATTTATTACTTAAAATAAACATATATTATGAAATATATCTTATATGTAATTATCATTTAAACTTATGTCCTTTTTAGTAAATTTCACATACCAAAAAGCACTTCTGACATTAATTATCCAAACACTCTCACTTTATCAGAATCACTTTTTTAGAAAATCTATTCTTTCAAAATCTATTCTCTCCAGAATCTATTCTCCATAAGCTATTCTGTAAACCATGGTTTTGCCTCATCCAAACACCCCCTTAACTTCATTGTGGCTCAATCCCTCAAATGTAACTCACTGAAATTCAGCCCATGAAGTTTGGCCCATTTAATAAATTGGTCTCTACTGTTAGTGAGTCATGCCTATGTGTCATTAACATAATTAAATATTGCCCACATGGCATCTTTGTCAGCATACATGCAAGATTAGATGTTTGAATGATTGGATAAATTTAAACAAAAAAAGAAAAGAAAATAGGAGAAGAACAGAAAGCTTCTCGATCTGCAAACTTCCCTCACCATCTCTGATCTCCATACTTCACTGCCGGTACCCACGCAAGAAAAAACTTACATTATGACTCATTAATGGTGTTTCCGTGTTTGTCATCCTCACTTTAATCTGCCACATCTATTATCCGGTACCTACGGGAAAAAAAAACATTCTCATGGAGAAGCAATGCTCGATAGTATTCAAGCACCATTGAACAGATATTTTTATAGCTCCTTGAGGAAGTTTAAATTAAGGAACTGAATCACAAACAAATTAAAAATTAAAAGACTCAAAGATTAATTTTTTTATTACTAATTCTGTAGTAGTATTACTTTTTATATCTCAAATGTGTTTTTGTGGGGAAATTCAAGGCAACATTAATGAGAAGTATACCCTCCAATTTAAAATATGAACATCAAATAACCAAATCACACGATTTAAAAACTTGGCTAAAATTAGTTTAAGACAATAAATATAAAAAAATTCTATTTATTTTTCTAAAACACCCTTATTTGTGAAGAGCGTAAGCGGAGAGAGAATAAGTGAAAAAAGAAAAAAAATGAGAGAGACATAAATTAATCATGAGTAAAAATGAAAAAAAATGTATTAAATGATTACACAAATCCAACTTATAACTTATGAAAAAATAAACCCCTTTAAAAATTTGTTGCTTATATTTTGAACAAAGAAGTAATATATATTGGAGCTTTTGACACAAGTCCGTTTGAAACAACAAAAACAAACACCTACAACGCAAAACTAGAACTACCACCAACAAAATTGAAATAAGGGAAAATGATTAAAAAAAAAAGAGCCTGGATTTATGAAATCCTAATTCAAAAAGCTAAAGGTTGGAAATGACAGGAAGAAAAGTAAACTCAAACTAGAATTTTAAAATTCAAGTGAAATGATAAAAATACCCTTTTATTTTTTTTATTTGAAAAACTTCAACTCCTCGCTGAAGGCCACCACCAGTGACCCTAGCCGACAGCTGACCACTGCCACCATTGATGGCCCAATAGTCACCTATTTTTTTGGTTGGTCCAAATGACAATATCACTTTCCTCAAATAATTTTCCGTGGCAAAAAAAAAAAGTTGTTGCCAAAATAAAAAAATAATAATTTAGACTTGTCATTTTTTAATCAAGAATTGTCATTCTTAGATAAATTATTGTCATGAGGTAGAGCCAAAGCAAAGGATTTAACTTATATATATATTTGCATTATAATGTTAAGAGGTAATAGGTGGCCCAATGCTCACCTATTTTTTTAGTTGGTTCAAATGACTATAGGATGGCCACCCTCACCACTTTCCTGAAATAATTTTCCATGACAAAAAAAAAAGGTTGCACCAGAGGAAAAAAAAAAACCTTGTTAATATCCGCCACATTGGTGGCCTACGTGGAGGCCAACTGCCAACAGGGTTGCCTGTAATAGCCTCTGTCGAAGGGTTGAAGTTTTTAAATAAAAAAAACAAAGAGGTATTTTTGTCATTTCACTTGAATTTCAAAATTTCAATTTGGGTTTACTTCCCTCCATATCATTTTCAACCCTTAGCTTTTTGAATTGGGATTTCACAATTTCAGGCTTCTTTTTTTATTATTCTCCCTTGAAATAATGCAGAACCAGTAGCAAAGCTAGAACCAATTTGATAGAATACACTTACTAAATACAAATCTAGTTGTATAGTCCTCTGATCATATTTATAAGACACTTTCACTATGTTTCACACATATTAAGAAAAACTTTAAACTGTATTAACTCTCCATTAAAATATGACAATGCAACTTTCCAACTTTATCGCTATTTAATATATACACCTTTCAAAAAATAACTATATACATTATGATAAATGAAGGACAATACATTATTTTTTGTAAAAATTTAATGAAGTGACTTATAAATAAGACTAAGAAAAACCTTCTCTCACTACCATATAAATAGAACCGGAGGAGTGCATGTGAAAGATGACAACACTCCTAAGATGGGTGTAGACAAGGTGTTTATGAATTTTAGTAATGGATAACTATTTTATAAATTTTTAAAGAGAAAATTGGGGAAAATTGCTTATTGAAAAACTAATTAGGAAAAAGCACCTAGAATCATGTTAAGGAGGACAAAGATTATTTAGAAGAAATAGATTTGGCACAAGAAATCATGAAACTACTATTAATAAGTACCACGTTGACTAATTTGAATAAACTAAGAAAATTTGTTAAGTTAGGTATTTATAATAAATACATATTATCTTTCTTAAAATACCCTTACTAATCATTTGTATTAGCTAAAACTATCATTTGATAAAATATTTATATATATAACTACTACAAAGATTGTTTTGAAAAAAAAAAGGATAAATATGAGAGACAAAATGAATTGAAGTCTTCTATGTAGGATCAAATTAAAAGTCAAATTAGTTTTTATATGAAGGAATGGAGGTAGTAATAAATGAGAGAAAAGGAAGAAAAGTGGACCACTTTGTGCTCGATTACGATCTTCTCTTTATGTCTATCAATGACAGTTTGTTCTACGGAAGCTTCGGTCTATTCATATATAGACCAATTCATATGATCTCGTGATTTGCCTGTTTCTAGATTATTTGAAACATTAATTAGTAGTTAAAATAGGAGCAAAGGATTATAATAAAAAATGGAATAAAAGTTAGGTTCTATATTTTTCTGTTTATTTAACATTCAAAATACATTGTATGTAATGAATAGAACACTGGGCAAGTAGCTTTGTAGTCATATGAAGATCTGTCTTTGAAAGAATAGTTAAAATCTTGCCATACACTAAGGCATTATCAATTTGTAGATTTTTTTTGGGATAAGTTGCTAGTAAACATGCAAATTAAACTATATATAAATATATATATATATATATATATATCTTCTTTTGGATGCTTTCTACACACAATTACACATACTTTCCTGCATTAGCCACCAGTCACACCTGATGTGTCCGAAGTCTCACCTAAGAAACAAGTCTGTGAAATATCAAACTACATGGATAACCATATGAAGGTTAGTGAATTGTGATTTCGTGGTACTCATTTGATCTTATTTACAAGTTACTTCAACCAGGTTTCCTACATTAGCCGCCAGTCACATCTATTATGTCCAAAGTCTTTTCTAAGAAACAAAGTCCATGAAGCATCAAACTACATTAATAATTGTATATGAAGGTTAGTGAATTGCAATTTCATAGTACTCATTGGATCTTATTTATAAGTTACTTCTAGCATGTTTTATTAGAACTAAAAAAAACATTAAACCCTCTTAATTTTGATTTAAAATTTAACAGCTTCCCAACTTTCATCCTATTTTAGTCACTTTTAAAATTAAGAAAAAACCTTAAATCTTATTAATTTCGTCTTAAAATTTAACAGCTTCTCAACCTATTTAATATATACACACTTTACGAAAAAATAATGTCTACACAATAATACATGAATGATAAAATAGTATATTCATAATTAAAATATGAGCTAAAATGCAGATTTATCCGAGAGAGGTTTTGGAAGTGGCAATAGAACTTTCCAATATGAGGCGTGGTAGACGCATGAGCAATTTTTTTCCTGTTTTAAAGAATAGTTGTAAAGGTTATGAATAAGCCCTTGTTAAACTGGAAAGGTTGCCAGAAGATCACAAGATGTGGAATAGGGATGTGTTTGGGAGAATAGAAGTGAGAAGAGAGGACTTCTCAATAGACTTTATGGCGTTCAGAAGAGCATTGATAGAAGAGGAAATCCTTTCCTCACTCAGCTGGAAAAAGAACCTAAGGAGGAGCTGCTGATTACTCTAACACAGGAGGAAATATTGTGGTAACAAAAGTCCATAGGAAAATGGATTGAAAAGGGAGATAGAAACATAAAGTACTTCCATTCTAAGACCTTAATTCAAAGAAAAAGGAACAGAATAAATATGTTAACAGCGAAGCAAGGAACTGGATTAAGGAGGAAAAGGAAATAGTGAAGTTTTTTCAGACTTTCTATGAAAATTTATTCGCTGGAGAATGTGAAGATAGGGGT